AATGTCATTTTAGCAAGCTGCTTCTTTTGCTCCATCCTGGAAAGCACAATCAGAGAGGACACAGTGCTGGATGGCCATGCTGGGGAGCATGAGCCCTTGTCAAGCTGCATCAAGCAGCCAGCTCTCATTTCTACTGGCAGGGGCTTTGGAATTCCTGCGCCTACGGGAGCAGCACAGCCCTTCCATCTGCCGTCTCTTGAAAGCACGGCAGCAACAGGGCTGATACAAGAGGTAGCAAGGGCTGGGTTTCCTTGATAGAGAGGAGGGAAGAGAAACACGAGTTACACAGTCACTTCTTACACAAGAAGCTTCATGGAATCTACACTAAGACCACGCAAGGCCCTCTCCAAAACGTGCACAAAACATAGGGTCAAACAATCCACGGCCATTCTTTTACCGCACTTGGATTCCACTGCAACAGTGACAGAGCAGCCTTTCCTTCTTCCTACCAAAGCGAGCATATTTGATGCTGGAAGGGCTTCATTCCGCTCTGCCCACTCCAGTCATACCCCTCAAGTCTACTCCTGCAGAACCCTCAATCTCATGATGGCTTGGATTATGGGCTTAAAATGGATTTTGTTTCGTGACATGGGGTGGCATGGGACTAATGTCTAAGTCACTGCTGAATTTGTGAGCTGGCAGAAACAGGCTCATAATTAAAGCACTAGGCTGGGCACTGGAAGGCAGATTCTCCTCCCAGCATCACCACAGCCACCTCGGGACTTTAGGCTGGTCGCTTCCCCTCTGTGTGCTACAGCTTCCTACCATCTCATCCACACAGCTAGAATACATCTCCTGCCTGAAGACAGCTTGTGGAGACACACTAAGGGTTGTAAGCATGTTCAGATACCTCTGTAACAGAGAGGAGGAGGGGGTTGGGAATAGATGGAAGTGCAAAGTGCCCTGAATGCTCTTGGGAACTCCACAGAATATTTGAGGGATCCCTTGCAGGAGATAGGCAGGAAGATGGGAAAGGCTGACAGCTGCGGGGAGATTTGGGAGTTTAACATCATGCCAGTCACTGTGGGTTTTAGAAGTTAAAGCAAAATAATTGTTAAAGTAATGTGAAAGGGTATGCAAGCAAGACACATGCACACATTTACCCTACCCCCAGCTCTGCCTTGTCACCAGCACCTGGACAAGCTAAGCTGAGTAGTCCCTCACAAACAAACACAGCAGGATCGGATGTGGTCAGGGGCGTGCGGAAGCTGGGAGGAAGCGCAGCGTGCAGTGTGGGAACATCTGGCTGGGGCCCGACACACAGATTACAGCCGAGGTGTTGGGGCCAGAATGCAAAGGGGGGGGGAGGCCCCAAGGGGAAAAAGGCTTTATCTCTCAAAGCACTAAAAAGTAAAAAGAAGAGAAACAATCCTCGCCCCGAGCTCCACTACCCCTGAGTGGAGATGCCTCTATCACTAGATCTGGTTGGCAGAAATTCAAATATGCATGAACAAGAGGAAGGAAGCAGGCAAATGGCAAAGCCACACAGGCCAGGGTGCGGCGGAGGCAGCGGGAGAGCAGGAGGAGATTTATAAACATCGCTGCCTTCCACAGCCTCAGAGGATGTGGTTTGCAAACTGAAGCGGGGAGGAAGCGCAGCGTGCAGTGTGGGAACATCTGGCTGGGGCCCGACACACAGATTACAGCCGAGGTGTTGGGGCCAGAATGCAAAGGGGGGGGGGAGGCCCCAAGGGGAAAAAGGCTTTATCTCTCAAAGCACTAAAAAGTAAAAAGAAGAGAAACAATCCTCGCCCCGAGCTCCACTACCCCTGAGTGGAGATGCCTCTATCACTAGATCTGGTTGGCAGAAATTCAAATATGCATGAACAAGAGGAAGGAAGCAGGCAAATGGCAAAGCCACACAGGCCAGGGTGCGGCGGAGGCAGCGGGAGAGCAGGAGGAGATTTATAAACATCGCTGCCTTCCACAGCCTCAGAGGATGTGGTTTGCAAACGACGTTTACAACAACACGAAACCAAAAGAGTCTTGGCTTCAACAGAACTTGATTAAGAATGAGCCCGGCTGACTCAGGTCATTTATTACAGAAGTCTCTCTTCCTCCCTCCTCCCCTTCAGTGTCCAATCTCACGCTGACCTCCTGGGGCTTCTGCGTTCCTCACCCTGCCTCGCTCACACTTCTTGACTGAAATCTGGCTGTACCACTTCTGTACTACCTTCTCACAGCAGCAAGGCTAGAGACCTATGTGGAGAGATGTCAGGTGTCCGACACGTGGGAAAGCTGGATGGTCTCCTAGCACCAGTATTTCACCAAACATACTGCATTTGGCCAGGCTGTGTTCACAGAAATCTTCTTCCTCAATAAATTCTTAATTCTTGACGGGCTTTTTTCTTCCATTTCCCTTTGTCTGCAATTAGGAGAAAGTCCTCCTTTTGCAAAGATATGAACACATCAGCAGGATCAAGTAACAACGGCTCGGGGAGTTACTGCAACCAGTTGAGCCTCTGAATCTCTTCTTTGGCAAACTCTTTACCTACTCCAGCTGCATTAGCTAAACCATCTAGGAACGTATTTTTGCACCCAGCTGATCTCAGATACTCTCTGCTCACAGGCCAATAAAAGTTTAATCCTATTTTCTAACCAAACAATATATTGTCTGATGCTGTTTGCCAGGGATTTTAGGGAGTGGGCAAATCAGGCAATCTTGGGAGCTGTTGGTGGGATAGTGAGTGAGTGTGCTCATTAGGTAGTAGGCATCAGCTGTTCCTAG